AACGTGGCCTGAATTGCGTTCATTTGTGGTCAACAAGGAACCTATTCTAGTTCAACACGGTTAATTGCACGATGCTCCACCTGCGTCACTAACCGGTGAGCGCTTACCCGCTTAGAGATCACACATCTTACCCAAGGCCTCTAAGTAGCATGACTTGGGAATACTGCTACAGGACAATGTCGACTGCTCAAAACACACAGAGGTGTCTAAAACCGGAGCTCAACACTTTGGTTTTCTTCATAGAGCGTTCGGTCGGTTTGACCCCCCAATCCTCCCACGAATTCTCAACGCCTGCGTATGACCCCACGTGGAACACGCCATCTAACCGTGGCACCCGTGGCAGAAACAGGATCTCGTTGCTCTCGAGACTCCTTAACGAAGGGCACCCAAGAACGTTAGGGGTCTCTTCCATCCACCCTACCGGCTTAAATTGCAGTACCTAAAAATGTACAACACTCGATATCGGCATTTGTGGGGCGACCTCATATTGGTTTACGGGATCAACTCAAGTCAAGAATTCACTTTTATGCACCCAGGAGGGGTCTTGAAGAAGTGGAACCACATTTTCCGTCTACTGCCGGAACAGTACCACAGCACCAACCTAGGAGGTCATACTTTATAACTAACGATACCGTATAGCCCTACTGGAATGCCGTAAAATTTCTTCTTTTTTGAGTGTATCAATCGTGGAACGCCCTCCCAACTTATGTCGTTTCTGCCCCCAATCTAACGATATTTCAAAACAACGAAGCGTTGTCCCATTCTCCTTTCGTTTTATAACTTGTGTTAGCAAGGTGGTTACGTGACGCAACCAAACAGTGTGTTTCCCAAATTCCGACTAGCGTGGACTTATACTTTATCACGCGAACATCTCGGCTCTTTCACACATGTTTATGATGAGTCCATCAAACACATTTTATCATGAATTTTTATTTTCTCAATAATTTCTATCCCATAGGACTTGTTAAACATTGCTTTTCTTAAACAATTTCCTGATGCTCTACCCACCGCAGAGGATAATCAACGGTGCCCTATCTGCTGCATCGAACAGGGTGGATAGGCGTTTGGATGCTACTGCTCAAGCCTTCTCGCCTTCTTATTCCCCCTCCCGCTTTTTCACCCATATCGTCCCATTTCAGCTTCACTTTTATCCCCCTTCTTTTCAACCCCCAATTCTTGGCCCTCTCCCACTTTGCTTCAATAGTCGCTTGTCTTCTAGTTTGAACTCACATGTGAACGCGGAGCGTCATTCCTGCCCTGTCAACAGGCCCATATCCAACCAAGCGGTCAAGCCCAGTTCATGGGCTTCCATTTGGAACCTTCGATCGTCCTTCAGATTGGCGTGCCTCAATGCACGCACATTGCTTCAGATCGGTCAACAGGCAGCATTTGTCCGAACGTTAGAGATCCTCTCGATCGATATCTGCTGCTTATCGGAGACCCGCCTGCAAGACTCCAACTCTGTGCTCACTCTGCGATCCCCTTCAGGTGACACTAGCAGCACTTTCTCATTGCGCCTATCCGGTGACGATGCAGCTTCGAGTACCTTCCAAGCCGGTGTTGGTATTGCCCCGAGTCCCCGGGCTGAAGCTACTCTGGTTGATTATATCCCAATCAGTAGCCGGATGTGTGCGGTATGATTGGCTGTCTCGTTCAAAACTTCGAAGTCGCGTGGGACCAACAGATGTCTATTCATTATCGCTGCCTATGCACCGACAATCTGTAGCGATAATTCGGTAAAAGGGGACTTCTATCGCCAATTGAACGAGCTCCTTCGCCACAGAAGAAGCTCGGACACCATAGTGCTGGTGGGGATCTGAACGCTCAAGTTGGAAAATTATCCACTGATGAGCTGCATCTGGGCGGCCAACATGGTGTAGGCTCCCGTAATGAGAACGGTGAGCGGTTACTTCATTTGTGTGTAGATGCTCTCATTTCTTGCGTGCACTAACTTCCGATACAGCACCCACCGGAGGGTTACTTGGCGCTCACCATCATCGAACCAGCTATGGACGCAAATCGATCACATTGCGATAAGTTACCGCTGGAGAGGCTGCATCCAGAACTGTCGCTCGATTTGGAGCACAGGTGTTGACACCGATCATGCACTTGTTTGTGCTGACCTGCGGATGTGCTTTGGCGGACGTCCACGACGACGTGAGCGCATTGACAGCTGTCAACTGGCGAAGTCAGCTGTTCTGAAGGCCTATCAAAGTACGGTGTCATGCAAGTTGGATAAGCGCTCACTGGATGGAATTGATGTTTACTGGTCTCATATTCACCAGACTTTACTAGCAACAGACAAATCGTCATGTAAGTCTAATTGCCAACATGCACATTGGATCTCTTCGCAGTCTATGAAACTTATCGATGCTTACCGGCATATTCCGGCTGGAAGCGAACACACTGAAACTCGCAAAGAGCTCTGGGCAAAACTCCGTGCTAGCCTGAAGAGAGACCGCGAATCAGAGATGGAAATGGCTGCTGCCCTTGGTAACCATCGTAAGTTATTCCGTCTGGTGCAGGAAACGGGCAGCACGAGACCTGGGGTTAGTGAGGCTGTACGTGATGAGAGTGGACAGCCTATCCACAACTTTTCAGAGCGTTTGGAGCGTTGGGCTGAGCATTTTAAAAGACAATTTAATCGGTCGGAATTGTTATATTTCTCGCCGGCCAATGATCGTCCCGCTCCGTGGGCTGTCCCTTTGGATCCACCCTCTTGCTCAGAAGTCGAACGTGAGATCGGACTGTTGGAGTTAACTGAAGCTGCGGGACCGGATGATTTTCCTCCATCCCTCTTCGAATTCGGGGACCTGCTCTTATTGATGATTTACACGGGTTACTAGTGAAACTTTGGGAGCAGGAAACTGCCCCAACCGACTGGAGCCGCTCCGTCATAGTTCCAATTTTCAAGCGAGGCTGTGGATCGGAATGCGGCAGCCATAGAAGAATCAGTTTGATCTCCATCACCTCAAAATTTCTTGTCTCTGTTATCCTTCACAGACTGACTGGCACTCGTGAAAGCCATATTTGTGAAGGGCAAGCCGGGTTTTGCCGAGGTCGTGGCTGGATTGACCACGTATTCATCTTGCGTCAGTTGTTGGAGCACCGTCGCACATATTGGCGGCCCACCGTAATCTTGTTCCTCGATATCAAATGTGCATTCGATTCTATAGATAGACATGTACTTTGGAACTGTCTACTGAGGAAAGGTGTACCTGAGAAATATGTAAATATCATCCGAGAATTATACGCGCGTAGCTCGGGTAGTGTGACGTCTTACGGCAAGCTGTCGTCGCCCTTTAATATCTCCAGCAGTGTGAGACAAGGATGCCCACTGTTACCTTTCCTCTTCAACTTCGCTGTTGACGAAGTCATGAAAATCGCGTTTGCTGGGCACGAGTTAGAAGGAGAAGGACTTCTTGATTTAGAGTATTGTGACGGTATTGCCCTAATCTGTAACAGCTCACAAACGTGACAAGTGGCACTGGACAGATTGGTCTGGACTGCCTCCTTCGCTGACCCTTGGTGGGGATCAGCTAGAAGTCGTTCAAAAGTTCAACTACCTGGGAAGTTGTATCAGCGCCCGTTGGCTTGAGGATGAGATCACGAATCGTATAGCAAAATCTCGGGGCGCTTTTGCTAACCTTCGCCACTTATGGCGCCGGCGCGACATTACTCTCGCCGTGAAGGATAGAGTGTACAATGCAACAGTGCGTTCGACCCTACTATACGGTTGTGAAACCTGGCCGCTTAAAGCAGCGGACCTGAAGAGGCTAGTTACGTTCGACCACCGGTGCCTTCGCAATTTAGCACACATCTGGTGGGAACACCGCGTGAGTAATGAGCGTGTTCGACGCCTTGTTTACGGTACAGGAAATGGAAATGAAGACTGCTCAGCACCGTTATTTCACACACCAGACTCCGATGGCTCGGCCACGTGTTACGCATGTCAGCCCACCGACTCCAGGGATGTGCGTTGTTTGCGCGCTGGGGGTGCGAATGGAAGAAGAAGAGAGAAATGAAGGTCCTCACTTCGGAGCTGGCCTTGGTTGGAGCGTCTCGGCTCCCTGGTTGGGGTCCGGAAGACGATGAATACGTTTGGCTGGATACACTTGCTGACATGGCTAAGAGCCGACCTCAGTAGCGTTCGTGCTGTGAGTTTCTTTTTCTCGCCCCATCCTTCTTAACCTCCCCCTCCAACCACGATCTCATTATTTAACCTTATATAATTTTGCATAGTAATTTTTTTGATGCATAGTAGCCGGCTGGTAGCTTGCCGGAACGACGCCCATCCGTTACCGGTAGCTCAGCTGATTTGCACCTGTTGCATTTTTTCTTCTATGTATTGCGGCACAGTAGCTGAGGTGCTTTACACCTCTAGCTAACGTGTATAATGATGATGATGCTTTTCAACCGTAATATGCCATTGTTCCATTGTACTCAACTTAGTTTCCCCCAGTACTGACCGTGAACTTGCATTCCGTCCAAAACCGTTGCTTGCTTGATTACAGCTGTTTCCTCAATATGCGCATGATGCTAGTGCTCTGTCTCCCCTCTTTCTTTTCGTGGTTTAATTTGCTGCACAACATCACTGCGCTTGCAGCTGTCATTCTTCGACTTCTTTTTGAGGGCGTTCATAATGGGCTACCAGATATACTAAGGCTAAATACTGTTTTTATTCACCACTACACCACCGTTCTTTTCATCTTTCGATAATTCCACGTTCGTTTGTTAACTTGCACCTCCCTAGATGATTCTCCGTTATCTTCTAGGCGCTTTACTGGGTTTTGAGGAAATTAAATGGATGCCTCAAACTGCGATGATAATTGTTTCACTTTGCAACTTGGATCCCGTTGCTTTTGATTCACTTGTGTAACCCTGCTGGCTGCCACGCGTGCGTTCTTGTTGTGGAATGTTTTTGCGCTATTGTTTTAATATCTTCTTTATTGTTGGACTCCAGTCCAGTAATTCTTAAATGTCCATTACCTTCCTTCCAGTATCCTCTGGAGGCTTGTCGACGCCTGTCACTCTGAGGATATTGCTCACAATCTTGTTATGGTTCGAGCTGTTCGGACAGATGCGACGCTCCGTGCAGTATTGTGGCCTCGGCGCTCGGTGTACGAGGTAAAAGCAGTTGGATCCGACTCGAATGCGTCAACTTTAAGCGTCGCAGTAGCTGAGCTGTCTGGCATGTTTGTTGTTAAAACGGATGAAATGGCCCAAAGAATGGTTCCTGCTGAAATATCGGCCGTGCTGCAGGCGGAACGCGTGACGGACGATGTTCTACAAAGGCTGACTAATCGGCTGCTTTCGGTTACTTCTTGATTGTCCTTTCATCTTCAGAATGTGATATTTCGTGTGTCCTACGCCCAGATTACTAGCGGTGAAATTACCTTCTTATACGCTGAGCTATGATGTATTCTTACTTTTCTGTGCCATGTAGTGGGTACCACTTTCTCCTCGCCACATCATGGATCAGTTTGGAATAAACCAAACTAAAGTACTTTTTTGCATTTAGTAGTAGTAATTGTCTAGTCACAGCACATGTCCTTTTCAACGACACCTTGTCGTCCGTCTAAAATGTGTTGCAAATATATCAGTACGCAAAATTTGACCGAATTTCAAGCTTGTAACTAGGTGCAACCGATATTTGCCGAGATCAAACAATCACATGTCGTCCAAAAAATAACGTTCAGATATTTCCTTCTTTGATTAGCCGTTTGTGTTCCAATTGGATCTAACGGGGTTAGAATCAACTGCTTTTTAATGTCGCCATGCCATGAAGAACTGGAGCATCTTCCGTTCTCGAATTGCTGGCAGCAATATGACATTTGACCTAACAGTCGGCCCCTACATTGACAGTTTCTCTCTCTCAGCTGTCTCTCACCTCATGACCATTTAGCATTATTCAATCGCTTCCGGATTTTAGGAAAATTGAGGTGCGTCGTATTTGACGAGTTTTAAAGACTATCAGAATTGTCCGGTGAATGCTAATTTAAGATAAGTCAAGGCATGCCTAAACATTTGACAACGGGGATCTATAGTCCCTGACTGTTTATATTCGGTTTTCTACCTCAGTGTTGATTGATTATTAAGTTTGATTATTCCTTTGGCTTGGGTTTCCTTGTGAAATTGGACGATTATACCTCATGGCACTTGTTCCGAATATTAAACTGGAAATGCGACGTATTGTCAGTATTATCATTATAAAACGACACGCGTCCTGACGAAGCGCGGTACCATATCCTTTTAAAATGGTTATCTTCGGCTTGAACTTGTGTGCAAAGGCGTCTTCGATTCTGTGTGAAAAATATCCGCATTGCGTATTAGCGACATGCTGCGGTTGGATAAAATTCCCCCATGTTTAACAGATACACATGTATAGTGGTTTGCTGACGCACAATGCCTAACAATGAACACTCCAAGTGCTCCAAGTACTGAGTCTTGTGGCACTTAGCACTGAACAAATTTGGCCCTGAGAACCCTCATCTTCAGATGCCATCGAATTAGGAAGTTCCTTATCCAATGGTGGACTGGGCCACTACTTACACCGCTGTGAAGAAAGGTGCGGTGGTTCAGCCGGTCGAGCGCCTTTGCGAAGTCCAGATAAACTTCGTCAGTTCCCACACCGCTGTCGACGGTTTCAGCTCAAATAGAGCGAACGAGTAGCAAGTTTGTGGTGCTAGACCGGTTCCGGCGGAATCCATGTTCTGTCGCTATAATCTCGCTTCCTTCCATCTAATTCTTGATTTCCTCGGCAATACCGGGCTCCTTGACTTTGGTTAGTACCGGCAATACTACCTGCGCAGTACCGGAAGATCTGCATGGCTTCTGTCCTTATGAATAGGAGTTACGATTCCGTGCTTCCATATTGTCGGAACTCGCATCTCGTCCATGCCTCGTTGGAAGAACTACTAGAGCGGATCCGCCAAATTCATTGCAGCTAAACTTGTTAGTTTCTTCATCGTCCATCCTTTGATTAAGATTCGCCGGGCTGTACACGAGTTGAATTCCATTCGTTTATTCCGTACATGGGAACCCGCGCGAAGCCGTTGTTTGAAGCGGTGTAACAGGAAAATCCAACCGGAAACTTGTTAGGAAACATCCTTGTTTCCCAGAGGTCTTACTTTTGAGACGGATGAATTAGCTGAGTCCGTGATGATAGCAATTGATTGGGCATCGGAGTTATCAGCGTTACTAATCCGTTAATTGCGGCCGGGCGCATCTGTGTAGACTGAAAGACATCTGTCTAACCATACTATTTCCGAATACGACAGATGCTCAGTTCAGTTAATTGACTATGTTCCGCTTATCTAGGTAGACTGAACTTAGTTGCTTTAATTCATGCAGCCACACCCATAATAGTAATAATGAAAATTCAGGGGAAGTGAACGTAGATCTCAAAGGTTTCAATCAGGTGGACGATATGCAGCAGTTCTACTTAGGTTTTTGGTGAATTTTTTCACCTTTTTTGTTTCATTCGCTGGCAACCTCATCATTTCACCCACCGTCAAAATAACCAGCAGTTCACCGCCACACTTTACCGGCGCTTCGATGCCACGCAACCACAACCGGTCGCGCGTGGACTGAGTATACCGCGAGGACGCCCACCTCTACGCGGATGCGAACGGCTGAACCAAGAATTGCAAGCCAGGCGTGCAATCCTTTTGGCCAGCGGCCGAAACCGCAATAATCGACTTGCAAATGTGCGAACCACTTGATCGAGCCAGCATATTCGGTTTGAGTCCGACGGACACTACCGATTCACCCTGTGGCATTTTGTCGAACACCGATTCGGCTCTTCCGTATGCACCGGCAGAGCCGCTCAAGCGTCGCTGGTCGAATGTGGTCAGTTTCTTATTATCGTTAGCGCGTAGCGGTCAGGTTTCTTGCGCTTTTAATAATGTAAAATTTCTGCGCAGTATCTTCGCTACTCTTAGTCGATATACTTGTATCTCACCATACGAGCCTTCTTCATGTGTGCAACTAGCTCTGTCGTTGATATGGTCTCATTGATTATACAGCTGCTCATATTAGTAAACCAATCGGCTACTTCGAACCATTGCTCTTTGATAGTGAGAACTGGTGATGTGTCAGCCCATTCCTGCGTCCAGAGATGTGCAGCACTACGCATAGCAGCTGGGCCAAAACCAGAAGCTGGTTGTCGTCCACCTAATCTGAGCTTGAAAGAGTACCCACTCCATGGGGAGTGAACCGGAGGCAGGAGCGAGTCCTGCATACTCATTTCGCTTTTACATTTGAAGTGAGAGTGGAAGGTGAGGTGTTGGTTCTCTGAGCTGAGCACTTTGATTGTAGATCTCTCGCGGTCATTCGATGTAGCATGTTCATTGCGTAATAATAAATGACCTGCTTGTACAAGCTTAGCCTGAGACAAATGCAGAGACGGATGTGGATTTCATGAAACTAAGATATGCAGGCAAGCTGTTTAGTACTACGCAATGAGCGTGCACTTCGATTGGTGATGTGGTGTCTGCAACCAAGCTGCTCAACTCAGAAACCCTACCAACAACTCGAGCTACAGGTATTCCGATTTAATGACGAGACAGCCTAGCAGCCGTTATGCTTGCCGTGGGGAGTTTTCCGAAGACCCGAAGATTCATGTATAGCGTTTAAGATAAATGGAAATTGGAAACTTATCTTTCGAACATACGCGTCTCATGAAGCAGGTGCTCCAACCGCAGACGCTGTATTGCAAAAGCTGACTTCTCTACGCAAACACAGCTCGCCGGGTGTCGACGCCATCCGTCCTGAGGCATTGGGAGCAGCAGCAAACCAACTGGCAAGACCTCTAGCTCAGTTTTTCCAGCACTGCTTAGACCAAAACCAAGTTCCCGCCATGTGGAAGCTTGGAATAATAACCCCGATTCACAAAGGTGGAAGCAGAACTGATCCTTCCAACTACCGCCCAGCATCCCTTCTTCCTATACTCTCCAAGGTCATGGAATCCATAGTTGCCGATGCACTGGTGTGCTATCTGGAAAACTGCAACCTCATCACTCCTGAACAGCACGGTTTCCCGTCGACAGCGGTCATGTACACCTAATTTACTAATTGCACGCAGTAGTTGGACCGAGGCAGCCGACGCTGGAGAAGGTGTTGATGTGATCTACCTGGATTTTTCCAAGGCTTTCGATCGCCTAGACCATCGGATACTACTATCCAAGCTGCAGCATTACGGGATCCGCGACCCTCTTTTAAGCTAGATCGCCAACTTTTTATTTCAAAGGCAATTAGTGGTCAGAGTTTGGAGCTCTTTATCGGACCCCATACAAGTGGAGTGTGGTGTGCCGCAAGGCTCGGTTCTAGGTCCACGTTTGTTTTTGGTGTTCATTAATGACCTTGCACAGGGAATCGCTTCAAACTTCCTAATGTTTGCCGACGATATCAAGATCTGGCGCAGGATCCAGGCGAACGCCGACCAACATGTGCTCCAAAGTGACTTAGATACAGTGTATCAATGGTCGATCCAAAACTTATTGCATTTCAACGTCAGTAAATGCGAGGTGCTTTCCATCCGACATCAAAGCAGCTACTCATACCGACTCGGAACGGATGTACTGCAACAATCAACTCTCGAACGTGACTTGGGTGTCCTGGTTCAAGATGACTTGGGTTGCTCCAGGCAATCTGAAAAGGCCTCGAAGACCGGGAACCAACACGTTGGGCTGTTGAGGCGGGCGTTTGGACAAATAAACAGCTCCATATTTCGACAAATGCTCAGTGCGTATGTTCGTCCCCATGTCGAATATGCAATTCAAGCCTGGCATCCATGGCTGAAACACGACCTTAATGCACTGGAGCAGCCACAACGCCGGGCATCTAAGAACGTCATTGGAATGCGCAATCGGTCCTACCAGGAGATGCTGCGACGACTAGGGTTGTTCAGTGGCAGCTATCGCAGGCTACGAGGCGACCTGATTATGACATACTTGATTCTGCGAGACCCACATCATGTGTGCCGCCCTTTACTGCAACTCAGCAGCAATACAAACCTGAGGGGCCACTCATTAAAACTCGCAGAACAATACAGTCGTCTGGAGTGCCGCAGAAATTTCTTTTCCATCCGTGTCTGTCACCCGTGAAATGCTCTCTCAGAATCATTCGTTTCTGCACCGACACTAACAATATTTAAAAGACGGTTGGACGATGCACTCATCCACTTACACTTTGTTACTTAACACTATGTCTCCATCCTACACCTGCAGTTTACCCTGGAATTATTTGTTGTTAACTGTGGGTGTTGTGAATCTAAGTGGATCACAGGACTGCAGCGAAACAAACGATAAGTCCTTATTTTCGTATTTAAAGTATTGACTATTTTACTATCCTTTTCATCATAATTGTTATGTTGATATCCCCACCAACTATCCAACGGGGCTTGTAAAGCAACGCTTCTTAACCCGTATAAATTCATTGTTCATTCAAGGGTAGTTGTCACATGACTTTACTCTAGCTGTTGTGCAACCAACACAGAACTTGGATGTACAAGCGAATTTACATTTTGTCATTCGTATATCGAAGCGGACTTGTCCATGCTTTATCCGTGCTACGTACGAATAGCGCATTCCTTTTTCCGTTCGTGGACTCATGGCTCG